AAATGTTAAAACACCCTACGATGATTATAATATTGTCTAATCAAATAATCAGATGTTTCCTTTACTTTGCATCTCTATTTTTTGTAGGCACATACACATTTATGATTTTATAATCCTGATTAATTCTTCCTTTTCCATTATGTGATATTTCTTTTTATCTCGTAATACTCTATTTGGAAGCCTATTTTATCTAATCTTAATATAGCCACTCCAGTCTTCTTATGCCTATCATGTGCATGTTATGTCTTTTTTAACCATTTATTTTCAGCCTTGCTGTGTCTTCATGTCTAATGTGTAGCTCTTCCAGGCAGCAGATAGTAGTAGGATCTTGCATTTTTTCTATTCTGATAATCTGCATTGCTATGATTATTGATACAGGTGGATTTAGGTCTACTATTGTCTTATTTGTTTCATGTTTTTCTCTTCTGCTCTTAGTCCCTCTTGCCCCCCCTTTCCTGTCTTCTTTTGGATTATGTGAATAGTTTTCTATAATTTCATTTTAATTTACCTATTGGCCTTTTAGTCTTTTCGATTATTTCTTAGAAGTTCCTCTGGAGATTACAATATGAAAGCTTAACTTCTCACAGTCTACTTACATTTTTTTTTAATTTTTTTTTTTGAGACAGAGTCTCAAGCTGTCATCCTGGGTGCCGTGGTGTCACAGCTCACAACAACCTTCACCTCCTGGGCTCAAGAGATTCTCTTTCCTCAGCCTCCCAAGTAGCTGGGACAACAGGCACACACCACAGTGCCTGGCTATGTTTTGGTTGCAGCTGTCATTGTTGTTTGGCAGGCCCAGGCTGGATTCGAACCGGCCACCCTAGGTGTATGTGGCTGGTGCCTTAGCCGCTTGAGCCACAGATGCTGAGCCTCAGAGTCTACTTACAATGGGTGCATTTACCCTCCCCTGGCACACCACCACCACAGTTATCCTTTATGCAATAGCTGTCACACACTCCATCTATACAATATAAAACCTTAAGTCAATGTTATAATATTTGCTTTCTATAGTCACATATATTATTTTAAAGGAATTAAGAGGAAAATGGTCTTTTATGTTTATCCCAATATTCATAATTTTTTATGCTTTTTATTATTTTTTAATATCCTTTCCTTTCAGTCTGTAGAACTTCCTTTCGCTTCTCAAAGTACAGGTGTTATGAATTCTCTTACTTTACCTGAAAATGTCTTCATTTT